TTTTTGTATTTTGTTTTAGCAACAACTCAATCATCCTTCTTCATTTATCCCACCTTTCAACTACGAAATGAATTTTTAGATCTTTGAGTTAAAGATGCTGTAAATCTTTTAAGAAGTTAAAGTAATATAAACAAAGCTAAGAGAGAAATCATCTATATTCACAAGGATTTCAACTTTATATTTTACAGGATATTTCCAGTTTTGATGATCGAAAGACTTCATTTGATATAGGTGATCCAAGTAAGATTGCACACTTGATGGAACTCGAAGGATCTAAGGAAAGATTACGTCTTTTCAAAGCCAACTTAAACGAAGACGGGTCTTTTGATTCTGCAGTTGATGGTTGTGAAGGCGTCTTTCATGCAGCATCACCTGTGTTCTTTTCAGTAACTGACGCTCAGGCAAAACTTTCTCTATCCTATTATTCGAATGCCTAACACTTCTGATGGACACCATTGTTGTAAAGTGTTAACTGGAGCATTTTGCATTCCACCCATTAGATGATGATAGTAAGAAGGATAGAAATCAATATGCTTTTCAAATAAATCATATTTCACTTTGTAGAGGATAAAAGAGTGGTATAAATGGGAAGCAACGTCTATTCATTTATACGTTACAAGAAACTATTGTTCAGTAGATGCTTCCCAGAAGAACTGTTGAAAAGTCTAAACCATATCTTAATACAGCCGTACAAACATTGATAGGTTAGTTGGGAGTAAAAAAAAAAAAAATGCAAAACTATGCATTATGGTTTATGTATGCTAACTTATGAGGGAGCTTTCCAGTCAGTGTTTCGACGCTAGTGCAGTTTTGCTTGATTGGGCTTCTTTCTGTTTATTATGATTTTTGTAAAACGCAGGTTGTATAAAGTTTTTGACTTACTAGCTATTTGCTTGTCTCAGGCACAACTATTAGAACCTGCGGTCAAGGGAACACTTAATGTACTTAGATCATGCAGAAATGTACCATCCATCAAACGGGTGGTGTTAACATCCTCTATAGCTGCAGTTACGTCTGTCAAGAATCCTCCAAGCCTTGATGTTATAATTGATGAAACATGTTTTTCAGATCCTGTATTCTGCAAGGAAAAAGAGGTATGTGAATGTCAGAATATCATTCATTTCTTTCCATTTTCATTCCTCAGAATGCATAAAATGACCTAGAACATTAAATGCAGTCTAATGATAATGAACTTAAAATGCATAAAGAAATGATCTTAGAATAACTACACGCCCCCTTTCCAGAAGGCATTTAATGGAAGTTCTAGAATAGTTTATTTCTTTCGTGGTTTATTGTCCTGAATAATGTTTTACTGCCGTACAGGTCATTATGAGACATCTATTTTATCATGTAATTCTGATACAGCGATGCAGCTATGTTTTATCTGATTTTACTTTATTATTCTCAGTTCTTAGGGATTAAAACTTCAAATCTGTTTGCATTTTTCAGACTTCAAACCTTTGAATTTTCTATATTTATTGGTTTTACTACCTGGTTTTTAGCATTTCCTTTAGTTGGATTGAGCTTGATACTGATGGATATTCAAATTGTGGGGTTATTACGTACGATACTACTTTATTCTTAAGTAATTAGTTATTTTCTTAAGTTATTGAAATCTAATTTTAGCCTGTAAAATTTTGATGTTGACATCTGAGGCTAGTTACTGGATACTGGAGAGTTCTGTAGTATGTGATAGTAGCTAGGTCAATAATGGAGATATGTAAACATGTATTTGTGGTGGTAATTCCACATAATTTAGTTATTATTGTTTTCAAGATTTTCTGCATTTTTATTGGTGTTCAATATTGAATTTTATATATTGGACAAAACTATACAAAACAACCTTCTATTGTCAAAATATACATGTAAATGAAGAATTTCCATAAAATATTATTATAGCTTAAAAGGGGGAAATTACAGCTACGAGTGTGTATGTGTAGTCTCAAAAGTGTTTTTCAATTATTTTGAAAACCTGCTGCTGCTTTCAGCTATGGTATGCCCTTTCAAAAACATTGGCAGAGGAAGCCGCATGGAAATTTGCAAACGAAAATGGCATTGACTTGGTGGTGATGAATCCTGGCTTGGTAATTGGTCCACTTCTTCAGCCAACTCTCAATTTAACTTCTGAGATCATTTTGAACCTTGTTAAAGAAGGTATTTTCTGTACACAATCAGGATCTTGTGTGTGCGGCAATCTTTCCGTGTAATACAGATTTCACTCCCTAGAATAGAATATATATGATTGTGCAACATCATATAAGATTATGTTTTAAACAATACCAATTGGTCTAATGTCTTTGCATTATATTGATGTAACCATCACATTCTTGACTATTACTACCTTTTCAAGTTTATCTATTTTCAGACTTCGGCCTTCTATTCAAATATTTGCATAAAACTACTAAAGGATCAATTTTAACATGTTACAGGAAGGACGGAATTTCCAACTTTTAGGTTTGTTGACGTTAGGGATGTTGCTCTTGCACATATTCTAGCTACGGAGAATCCTTCGGCTAGTGGCAGATACTGTCTGGTTGGAACAGTGATATCAGCTTCAGAAGTTTTCAATATTTTACAGAAGCTTTATCCTCATCTCAACCATCTTGAGATGTAAGGATTTTGCACACGTTACATATTTCTGCAAATTATAATTATCCATATTTTTTTTTTCATTTTTTACTCTTCCATTCCTTTTTGTTTCACAAAAGGTGAATGTTTAACAAATCATATATCAAAATTTGGTTTGAATTGCAGTACTGCAGAAAAACAGCTTAATATCTACCCACTACCGAACAAAGTGTCCCAGGAGAACGCAAAATTTTTGGGCATCAGTTTCACTCCCTTTGAGGTTAGTCTAAAGGACATTGTTGAAAGTCTGAAGGAGAAGAATTTCTTAAGTTTCTAGGACCCCACGAGCACCATGGAATATTTCTACTTCAATTGATATGCTCATATAAACGGATACCCTACCTTCATTGTTGTCGTGTGAAAGGTCAGCTTCATAAAATGTAGATATTTGAATGCAAATAAAGAGAATCACAGTTGTGGTGTTGCTTTGTATCATTACAGCATTACACATTGTATATGAAACTTTAAATTTGATAATATTCAGTTAATGTTGCTCTTCTGGAGAGATTATGTACACAGAACACAAGCAGAAGTAAGAACTCTGTAGAAAAATGTATAACTATACAGCTGAATATACAGAGGAAAAGAATTTCCTAAAATCTTGGCCATTTCAACTTGTTAGCGATCACATGAAAATCCTGTCTTGACAATCCCGTAGTCAATATATCAGCCAGTTGCCCCTTTGTAGAAATATTGGGAGTGCAAATCGAGTTTTTTATGAGTGTCTATATACTTCCACATGCTTGGTGTGATCTTATTGAATGGGATCATGGACAATGTTGGTAGCCAATTTGTTATTCAATATAACCTCATTGGTCATTCCCATTTAACCTTGATGTCATCTAGAACAATCTTCAACCAGAGTAATTCACAAATTCCCTGAGCCACGGATTTGACTTCTCGCCCTGCGCTTGATCAAACCACTACCACTTATTTTTTACTTCTCCAAGTAACTATATTACCTCCCAGAAGTATACTATATCCTGATGTGGATCTCCGATCAATAGCTAAACCTATTCAATCTGCGTCTAGGAATAGCACTGATAGCCTGAGCATGGATAAGTTCCATTGTTATTGTAACCAAGTTTTGTTGACACTCCTTGAAACTTGAAACCAGAACCCTTCCTTTACCCAATCTGTGGCAGCAATATATTCTGCCACAGGAAAAGATACGGCGATTATCTTCTGAAGTTGGTGATTTTTAGCTTATAGTTGTATCTCAAATGCAGAGAAACAAATTGTAGTGGATATCAAATCATCTTTTGTATGACCAATTAATGTGGCCCAAGTAATATTATTAATAAATTAAGACCTATTGAGAAGTGACAGTTTTATAACTGTCCACTTTGATGAAAAGTGGGTAGTTTTTTACGCCCATAAAATTGTCTCTTTCTACCTATAAACGTAAATGAAATCTATCAAATTAAAATATTCAATTACAGAGAGGAAACAAGAGAAAACGGTTTCTTTATTTTGCTAGTTTCTATTTTGCAGGTTTAAATCTTTCAATTATTGCTATGGATCAAGGTATATTTCTTGATAAATTAAATCTATATGTAAAAATCATGAATTCTATAAATCTTGGTATTAGGGTTAATTAGTTGATTACATGTGGTATCAGAGCCAATGTTAAAGAATTCTTGGTTTTGCTTTAAAGATTATCGTTTTCCGCTTATTGATCCTTAATTTTTGTTATCGACTTATGGAACAAAATTCATTTGACTTCAATCACAGTTCCGTCCAAATGCTATTAATTGTTTCCGAAATGGGGTCATTTTCTGTTGAAACGTGAAATCAAGCCCAAATATTATTAGTAATGATGTTGGATCATGCTACAAGTACATAATCATTTACATAATACATTACATAATTGACATGTGGCGCGCATCCATCGATAATCTACAATTTTTGACTTTTCCACACTTCACATCCACGGTCGGATTTCTTCCAAATGGGCCTATGTAATCTATTATGTACAATAATTATGTACATATAAATTTATCCTAATAACAATTCAATATGAGGAGAAGAAAAAGAACAAGGGCAGGGGC